TTGGAGAGACCCATGTTTGGGGCCAGGTGTTCCGTAGAGTTCCGATGACGACATGCAGTTATGAATATCGGTTGAAGGAGCATGCGTTGGAGAATCAGCGTGACGGATAGCGACCAATGATATTATTATACTATTTTTCACGGTGCTTTTGTCCGAAAGTAGCTTTCTAGTCAATCAAGATAATAATTTGGCATAAAGGGTAAGTTGAGTGAGCCTCAAGGCCCACCCCACTCCCCTAGTTTACTAGCTAAACTCCCTCTCTCTAAAATAGGTTCGGCTGGCCACGGGGAGAAAGAATTTCGCCGGCGGGCTGCTTCAGCAGCGCCGGATAAGAGCATAAGGAGCGAGTATCGACTGAGCTGCAATAATAAATAACAGCTCATTCTCTCTCTCTCCTTTGGGCGCTACTTTCTTGGCTACTCGAAGATTACCTGTACAAAGTAGCCTTCTAGTCAATCAAGATAATAATTTGGCATAAAGGGTAAGTTGAGTGAGCCTCAAGGCCCACCCACACGAAGTCCCCGAAAGGATCAATCGACGTACCTCAGACCTCGTCCTCCTGTGAGAACTCGGCCAGGTCATGCCTGCAACTCGGTTTTTACACTGTTGACGTAACTTAGGGCGCGCTACGCAGCACACAGAATCCATACGGGAGCAGGAACCGAAGGTTTGAAGTAGGGCAGGCTCCGATGATGGAAGATACCCTGCTAGACAGCACAGGAAAGTTATGCTCTCTGGTTTATAAAGGTTTCTCTCAAAATAAGTTTGCTAGGACAGAGGACAACAAGGAGTTCCTCGAGTCACTTCAAGCTCAACAGGCGAGCACTTTTAAAAATGTGCGACATGAGCGCTCTGAACGCTCTCAGAAGCCGCCTCCAGCCGCTCAACCCCCTAAGCAGGGCGTTAGGGCGCTTGGAGAACAGGAAATCGAGACGGTGGCGGAGGCAGCGCCATCACAAACGACAACCACGAGTCAATTGGTCATGTCTACCGACGATTTTGAGTCGGGGGGCTGTCCGTTCATAGGTCTGGAAGACACAGACTATTTGGATTTTTAGAGAGGGTCGGTAATAAGTCAGGGCTTGCCGATCCACAAAGAAGCAGTGACCATGTCCACACTGTTGCCGATGCTGAAGGGACGCACGTTCACTCGGCAGTGCAATTCAACACTGTTCCTGATCATCATCATCTCGGTTTATCTGTGGATCAACATCGTTTTCTTCAAGAGAGGGAGTGGACCCGCGAAGAATACTATCGAGATGTACAGCCGCTTTCAGACACTGGCGCCACGATATCGTGCCAGCCTGACGGCGTGGGTATTCTGCAGGAAACTGTCAGCAATGCCGTGATGATGATACAGGGCGCTACAGCACGTGACCCGACAGCTTCAAAAGCTGGGGGAGTATCTATTTTCTTTTTACCTTCTGCTCAACGTGCTGATACAGCCTATGCTTTAGGTGTATGGAGAATTGTTCTTCCAACACTCTCATGCATAGTGGACTCACCTCATGCTAGGTCAATTCATGGAGTTAGACAATGTACTGACGACACGAAATTCCCACCTTACATGACGATTGTTCCTAGTGGCACACCTCTGAATCCAAACGTCCATGAGATGAAAGACTTCAGAGTAGCCAAGTTGAGTCGTAACGCTCACAAAGGTTCAATCCACCTTCCGGTTGTCGATCCTATGAAGTACAAATTCCTCCGAGACTTCATAGATGGCAGCATCATCGATGTTGGAAAGATTATCCGCAGGCTAAAACTCTGCGCCTCGGATAACAGAGTCAGCTGCGCCCTTGAAGTTGTGATGTCTAAGTCACCACAACTCCAAGGACACAGTGTCTTTTCATTCACCGATAAAGGCCTAATTAAGTCGCGATCACCCATCATTCGACATGCAGCTATAGCCTGTGGCCTGCATCAGGAATCATCTGCAGTCTTACCTTCTTGGCTGCAAGATAAGTTTGAGTGGTCAGTTATTTGTGAGAGAAAGAAGAAACTGTCCAATGCTCTTATGAAGCGATTGAACAACACGCAACTCATACCCACTGTCGAATCCCTTATCACCATGCCCCGTGATAAGATTAAGGCTGTAGATGTTGCATTCTTCTCTTTCCCTTGCATAAATGAGACTGTATTGCGTCATGGCACTGATGCTCAATATGACGACACCAAATCAGGGATGCTCTTTCGAGAAAGTCATTTACAGGTGGCCGACGCGTTAAATTATCCAAAGATTATTTGCTCAGAGCTAGTCAGTCCACACCCTGAAAACTTCAATCATCATCTTCAAGTAGAGGATATGATGACTGATCCAAAACGCCAAGATTGCAACTCATATAGCCAAACCGATTGCAGTGCAGTAGTTAATGCTGCATTCTTCTCGGGCTGCGTATCACAACCACGGTGGATTAGGGTATTCAGGCTGAAGATGTGTGGCAGCATCAGAAATTTCGA